ATCATAGCGGCTGTTGGAGACCCGCCGGTACTTAAAATGCCCAAAAAATCTAATAAAAATGTGTCCGATTGCATGTTCGATCCATGCTACGGCGTCCAGGGGGAATAACGCGCTCCACAACTATGCTCTAGTGGTGTGGACGAAAAATATCCCAGCTGGGATTACTCACTCGATAACGGACTTTTGATATTTGGTGCTGGAATGTGCGGACGCTTCTGGACCCCGATACCCAACGTCTGAAGGCACGCAATTTTCGTTAGTTAAGACATGGAAGCGCTTCTTGAACCTTCGGTATTCGGTCTCCGTCACTGGAAAAGAGAGTGGATCAATATATCCAGCTCGGTCATTGCAGATTTTCATGCGTGGAGAGGTAAGGTACGTGACATCACCGAAACTGGTTAGATCAGGCATGATCACAGCCCTACAAGTGCACCAGGCCGGCGTATGTTTACTTTAGCATGTTTGTTTATTCAGTTGGCATGTTCGGGCTAACTGAACGGGCCAAGTCCCACGCTGTTGGCGCAGATCCAACCAAATGCGAAGTCCCTGCCTCGTTGTCAATTTAAAATAGACAGGAATTGGGTCCAAGATTTAGCTGTTTATTACATTGCAACCTAAAGCATGCTGAGTGTTTCGGAGTCGATTCGCACAGCAGCTAGGCAGATCCCGAGACATAACGTGTATAGCCTTACTGCCTCCTGTGAAAAGTGTCTAGCACGCGCAGACAGCGATTTACGCTTTTCCTGCTGAGACTTCATTAGGCACGGTAGAATGCTCCCTTCTACCGCCCGTCATCTTCGTTTGGCACCTTCCGCTGCTGATATTTGCGTGAATCGTCACTGTCAAAATTTCACTCATTTTTATCCCACGCTTGTTTAAGGTGATTTTATCTGCTTCTAGTTAATAAGCACCCCCCTTTTCTAGTCAACTCGGGATGATAGGCGAACTGTCAGGGCTAAAGTAGGAGCTAAAGGTTATCAGGAGCCAGCCATACTTTCATCGATGGAGATTACTTGGTCAAATACTCCTAGCCTATTGCTCG